TATCTTATAATTGTACCCTTTTGGAAATTTTATGTTTCTTCATTCCTTGTCATGTAAATTTGTATTGATCGAAAGTTTTAGTTTTGTGAATTTTATTTTTCTTCATATTATGTTATATATTTCATATAATAACATTTTATTATAGCATATATAAGATATTCAAACAAACTATACTGTTATATAACAGACGATTGATCATAATGTGGCATCATTAATTTAATTTGGAATCATTACTTGAGCTGTTGGGAGGCGTTCAAACATGATTTGATCGAAATTTGAAAAAGAAATAAGATACTATATTGATAATGTTAAAAAAAATATTTAGATTGTCAGTTTATATATAACTTAATTATTTCATTTACATTTTTTTTATGTATATATATACATATCATGTATCCATGGTCATAATAACAACAACAACAACGTTATATTATAATTTTATGAGTAGAGTTTAAAGAGGATAAAAATACTAATATTATCCTTATCTTTAAGTAAAATAGAAAAAATGTTTTCTCGTAGACCCTCGACTCAAAGAAAATATATCCAATCTTTATTGAAAAAACCCTAATTTTGTTATATGTGTGCGCGCAATGCAACTAACGTTATAAATGTGGTATATATTCTATATTTTCATCATCAAATTATAAGTCTTGTTATTGGATTTTCTTGTTTTCCACAATAAGTTGTGTAAGTTTGCAATAATTTTCATTTTTCATGAATTGAAGGGTAAGATTATCATAATAATTAATTAACGTACATCGTTAGGAGAGAGAAAAACAACGCAAAATCCAAATTTAAACTATACTAGTTCAGAATTTATCATCAAAACACATAATTTAAATATTCATAGATATTTAATGAATACATATATTAATATATGTATTTGAATCTATAACTAATACTGTAGCTCCGCCCCTCATGAAAACACAAACATTCAGAGAGGGTACATTCAGAGACTTGTCTTTTGTTTTGGCAGCATATATACTCACAAGAAGAAGAAAAAAAGATGCCCAAAAATATTATTCCACCTCTTTCCCAAGCTTATAATTTAAAGTTTAATGAACAAAAAGACAAGTTGTCAAGCTTAATTCTTTTTAAAAAAATTGTTTATTGTAATACAAAAGGACAAGTTTTGAAGCTTAATTTTTGAAATAAAATAAAATAAAATAAATTGTTTATTGTAATACAAGAGGACAAGTTTTGAAGCTTAATTTTGAAATAAAATAAAATAAAAAATTGTTTATTCCTGTTAATTACAATATCCTAGTTTTTTCTTTTTATGTAATGCTCTATCTGTTTCAAATTGTATGTCTAGTTTTAATTTAAGATGGAGTTTATTAAGAAAGTCAGAGGCGTATCTAGAGGGGGTTTCGTGGGATCACGTGAACCCATGCTCCCCTCTCTAGATTATATATAATAGTGTTATATATTTTTTAAAATATTTAAATATAGAGGTGTGAACCCACGTTAAAAATAGCATATAATAATATGACCATGATTGGGTGCACTTCTCTAAGCAAAGATAGAAATTTAAAATCTTATATCTATCTTATTTTTGTTAGTAGCACCCCTCCAAGTAGTTACCAGTAACACTTTTGGCGTTTCAATCAATTTTTCTTTTGTTTCTTGCTTTAATCTTTCAAAAATTTCCAGTGTGTAACATTTGAAATTCCTAAAAAGAATTAGCACGGTAAAATTTCTATATAATTAAATCAAATTTGTATATTAAAATTTAAAACTAGTAATATTATATATGTTGAATCTATAATTTTTAAAATTTAACGGTTCAGTGTTAAGAACGTAAAAGTCAAACCGATCAAATTTATATCTTAGATGCATCTTTTTGTAATAGTGCACCCATCCTTTCGAAATCCTAGATACGCCTTTGAATTTAGAAAGTAATGATTTTTTTTTGAATTTTAATTTATGATCTTAAATTAAAAATATATTTAGTGTATTAAAATATATTTTATTAATTTTAATTATGATTTTAAACATATCATGCGAAAATTAAATTTAAAATTATCAAAAAAGAAAAATATATTAATTTTTATCGAGCAAAAAAAAACACGAATAATTTAAAACAGATGAAGCAATAATTAATCAGATAATCATAATGAATCTTTATTTCAAAATAATGCATGACTAGATGTAGCTGTCAAATCCTCCATGTGATAAACCTATCAGAGCTGTCCACAAAATTATCTCTCTTTTTCAAAATTATTTGCATATTCTAAAAAAGAAGATATTAAAATAGTAGTAAATATTTATTTTTATTCGATATTTATTATTATTATAAACTTAAATCACTTTAATATTATTAGCAAAAACTCTTACTGATATAATATATATATAACTTAATTGGGTGAAACATTTATTTCATGTGTGGATGAAATGTTAGCATCACACATATATTGCGGTGGTCAATATGGTAATATGTCTTTTTTTATATATTATGATATCAAAATCAACCTTCTCTTAATTTTTCTTAATATAAATGTAAAATTTGAGCCAAAATAACTAAATTCTACTAAATTCAAAGCAACCAAGCATTATGATATATATATATATATTCATTTATTATAGTAAAAGTCGCTAGGCTTGAATTATAGTGAATTAGTCTAGTAAACCGTAATATAAGACTTTTAGACTTATAATAGAAGACTATTGACCTAAGAAAAAAGTGTTTTTCCTAAAAGAAAATGACATTTTTTCTTCTCAAGTCCCAAGTTTGGACATAGTTTTTTTTTTTTTTTTTTAAGGTTTAAGGGAGACAAAAGTACATATTTTAGGTAGTGTTTACTTTTCACTCTCTGGAGGAATTATTTATGAGAAATTTTGAGAAAATGTACTTTTGATGGAAAATTATTAAATTATACGTTATATATGGCCAAGTTCTTTTTTTAATAGGACCAAAAATTAAGCACCAACCTTTCAAAAAGCAACTTAGTTTAAGAGTTCATTATTTAAATACACGTTATTTTGCAATATTATAGATATTCTTATCAAATTTTGACAGAGACGTATCTAAGGGGGTCACCGGGTTCACGTGAACCCATGGTCTCCTCCAGAGATTATATACAGTAGTGTTATATATTTTTTTTAAAATATTGACATATAAATATGTGAACCCACACTTGAAGTATCACATAATGCGATTATGACTGGGTGCACCTCTCTCCACGAGGTTAGAAATTTGAATTTTATATGTATCTTGTTTTATTTCTCTCTCTCTCTCTCTCTCTCTCTATATATATATATATATATATATATATATATATATATATAGAATTAATTTTAGACCTATAATTTTTTAAAATTTTAACGGTTTTCAATAGTAAAAACATAAATGTCGAACCGATCAAATTTATATCATAGATCAACCTTTTTATAACAGTGCACCCATCATCTCAAAATCCTAGATACGCCTTTGGATTTTGATGTATTCAGATACGTCCAGATACATGTATCTCGAGATATATGAGGGCTAAAATTTGGTATAATTTGTTTTAGATGCATTGTATCTAAGTAGATTCGTGTATATCTGGAATACATAGACAAATGATTTCGCTCGCCTCTGTCCCATACATCTCGCTTACCACTCTCATATCTCTCTCCTTGTATCACAGATACATGTATCCAGTGTGATTTGCATGTATGTGGGATACATAGACAACTCTCACTCGCCTACCTCCTGTTCTTACTCGCTTCTCTCTCCATTTCATTGTATCTGGTAGCAAAACACATGTATCTAGATGTATCGATCTGACTTGAAATATGATATAAAATTATTAAATAGTGAGATAAAATGTAATTTCAAACTATAAAAAGAAGTAGTAAATATAATAGAAATATTTGTGTAATTAGAGACTTTCTTCTAAAATTTGAACATCAAGTTTCTATTTGGGCCTATCTAAGTGGGCCGAAAACATGATCCAGCTCAAGAACTAGCATGTCAAGATGATAACCTAAACCCTTTTGTTCCTTAACGTTTATTCTAGAAATTATTAATATTAATTGTAAAACTTACATAAATCTCGTAGTATTAAAGAGCTAATTACATCATATCCCTATTATTTTTTCAAGTTATAAAAAATCTCTTATATTTATTGGATCTTAGATACATTAGATACCTGCGGATACATAGCTCACGGATTGCGAATGATACATTACTTAATGTGAGGGATATATCCGAGAGGGGATAGGGGTGTAGCCGAGAGAGGATGAGGATGTATCCGAGAGAAGAATAGGGATGCACCAAGAGAGGATTATTATAATTTTTTTTTAAATGGTAGAAAACTTTAGAGATTATAATAAAATAAGATGTGTATTTATGTAATTTTTCCATATTAATTTGTATCCTTGGTTTACTTGATTAGACAGAATTTCTGTTGAATGCTTTGTTATATTTTTCCTATTAATTATTTTGTTAAGTAATTTTTTTTAAAAATTGTTCGGACATGCATTACTCAAATTGATGGGTCTTTTGAAAGTAGTCTATTTACTTTCACGAGGTAATATAAGGTCTTCTGTATACTTTGTATACCCTACTCAAACCCCTATTGTGGAATTTCTCTGAGTTGTTATTATTGTTATTGTTGCTGTTGTTGTTGAGTTTCTATTATACTCCCTCCGTTCACTCGTTTTACTTATCTAATGTAGTAAAAATACATTTTCAATTTTTAGTATATCTAAAGAAAAATATGTTATTTTTTTCATGTTCAATTCTATCCTTAAAATTAATTACTTATTTTTAAAATTAATTTTTTAAGTCTAAGACTAAATATCAATCAATGTGAATATTATGATAAAATATCATATTAATTATTATTTGTCAAGGAACGTGTAAAGTTCAGACCGAACAAGTAAAAGCGAACGAGGGAAAGGGAGTATGATGTAAGGCAAATCTTGGAACAAAAATATAATAAAATACACATAATTGTAGATACATCAAAAAATTGTTTCTTAGTAGTTCACATAGATGAATATACCCAAAATTAATAAAGGTAAAAAAATACATGAAAAAAAAGAATTTAAAATGAAATAGTAATTATTCAAATGAATCACAACCGTTGAATCAACTCATCAAAAAAATCACAATGAATCCTCACCGTTCATTTTCTAAAATTTACAACAATACAAACAAAGAAATTCCAAAAACCAAAACCGCCGTGCCGTGCATGGCAATCTTCTCAACACCGGAATTATCCGCCGGCGAGTCATCATTGCCGGAGGTAGGGCTCAATCCTGCCGGAGACTTGCTCTTTGGTTTCAACGTCGCCGGAGCCGGAGCCACTGCCAGAGAAGGAGCAGCAAAGATACTCATAGGTTGAAGCACTTTATCAACCTGAGAATTATTACACTGTCAGATCATCGAAAAGATATTTACAAATATACATTCTTAAAAAATGTTAATTTTTTTATCTCGAAAATAAAACATGTTATCTACTACTAAAATTATTAAAGACCATTTGATGGTGTAAAAATTCTTATATATATACTCTCATTATAATATTACATCTTTGCATGTCAATTAATGTGAAGGGGTAATTTAGTTTTTTTAAGGGTATTAACGTCCAACAAAATCTTAAAAGAATTTCTATCTATCGATATTTTACTTTTGAGGTGTGCGCTCTGTATGTTTTTTCAACGGAAAAGAGGCGAAAATGCCCGGACACTATTGCAAAAAAGTCTAAAATATCCTTTATTAACCTTTTTTGCAACAATTATTCTCTATTTATATTATTGACTCGCTTATACCCTTTGACTAACCGTCAACATTGAATTTAAAAAATATATTTTAACAAATATTCTCCAAAAACTGACTTTTTTCTGAAAATTATTAATTCTCCTATAGAATGTTTCCCGATATTTGATTGGAAAGCAAAAAATATTTTCGATCCAAAACAATAATATTTAATTACCAAATCTTTTTGTTTTTAAAAAATGAATAATATTTAAGTGTCAACTATCGATTTAAAAAAAAACTAATATGAAATTAAAAATTAAGATATTTTAAAGAAAATTATGACCTATCCCAAAAAGTCCAAAACATAAAACATTTCCCTCACAATGAACAACAACAATAACAAAATATCTAGTGTGACCCCACACGTAACACTACATGTTACCCCTACCTTATGTAACGTAGAGCAGTAGAGAAGTTGTTTCTCGCAACCAAAACATATTTTCTAAAAAAACATTTTCCATCGTACCAAATAAACGTAACAACTAACAATAATAATACCTGATAAACTGCAAGCTGACCATCAGTATAAATTGTGTTAGAAACAGTAGCATCATCAACTCCGGTAGAGACATTAACTTGATTACCGGACGTCGTTACGTTTAACGGGAAGTCTCCGGGAGTAGCATCACCAGCTTGTGTTCTTAAAGGGTTACTAATAGTTTGAAATTGTGACATTGAAATAAAATTTGGTAAAACATGAAATTGTACTAATTGAACTTGTTGTTGTGCACTTAATGAATTTATTGTGCCTGATTTTAGGCTAGAAAATGCATTATCTGTTGGTGCAAAAACAGTCATGCCTTGATTTGAATTGTTTAATTGTGTGTTGATTTGATCACTAACTTGTGATACTTTCATTAGTCTAATTAATGTTGTGAATTGGCCTGCTTTTTCTAGGATTTGTGTTATGTTTGTTGGACCAGAAGGGGTTGTTTGAGATAGTGTTAAAATTGAAAATTGGAGGATAATAAAAATAATAAAAATTTGGTGTTTCATTTTTATTCAAGAATGGGATATGGAGGGAAATGATGTAGTGTTTTTTTTTTTGTTGATAATTGATGTGAGAAAGTTTAGGGCCTTATATATGGAAAGTAAAGAATGTGTTTGGTGAGTGAGAGAAGGCTTTTTAGTTTTATAATTAATTTATGGAGCTATGTCGACTTACGAATAATATCTTGTTGATTAAATAATCAAGTATATATACTATGTCATGTATTATCTCCTCTTTATAGAGAAGAGAGAGTGACCTTGTTTCTTTCTTATTGATAGTCTTTATTTTTTTCTCGATTTTACTGAAGGTCGAGGATCCTATCAGAATCAAGCTTTAATTTTGGGAAAAGTATTGTTTCCTTTATAAGTTGGAGTGGAAGTATACACACTTAAAACTTATCTATTGATCGTAATAAAGTAATTTGTAAACCATCATCAAATTATATTAAAAGTAATAATATGTAATTGTTCATAATAAATGAAATTAATAATAAATGTATATAAATAAGACAAATTACCAGCTACAATCGAGTTAATATACATATAGTATAAAAATTCTTCATATTACATAATCCTAGCTAGCTAGTATGGCATTCCTTTATTATTGAAATTTGGTGAGAAGTTACAATATTAGTGGTTACAAGAAGGAGAAAAAAAATCATTTTTTTTAAAAGATTGACCATCAAAATCTTGAAAGAGAGTAGAATGGAAAAGTTTGAGGGGTGGGGCTTGGGTGGAGGTTAAGAAAGTATTATTGCTCATAATTTTGCTTAGAAAGGAAGGAAGATAGAGAGATAAAGTGTTATATGTATAGTTTTTTCTATCTTTACGAGATAGGAATAAAATTGATGTACATTATATCTTCTTCAGATCGTACTTATGAAACAACAGTGAGTTTGTTGTTGATGTACACTTGTAAGTGCATATAATCTAATGCAAGGATTGGTATGTCATATACATAAGCCTCTTTATAACATTCATTTTCTATAATAATCTTGTCTTATAAAGGTTAAACTTAATTTTTTGTTGACTGATTTTCATGTTATGTTAAATATTATATATGTTATATAACAATATTTTATAATAACAATAAAAGAATATTGAAACTAATAGCTGAGTTTGAATATATATTACTTGAAAAGGAAGCTTCAATCAAGAACATTGCAATTCTTGATTATTTGGGGCCATGGTCTATCTAAAGTTGGTCCCAATTCATCACATATTGCTCTTGGGGGGGTCATAAACTAGGCTCCCTTTTTCTTGATTTTCTTCTTTTCGTGGTAACCTTTCACCTTAGTTTTTTATTCAATATTTGGTATTTGTTTTAAAAGTCTGATTAATCCAGATTCATGACATATAAGACCATTAAAAGGGAAAATACTTTTTATCAGGATTTCTTTTGATTTTTCTGAAATTCAAAATCTCTAGATCAAGGTAAAGAATCATATTCACTTCTTCACAATACTAAGATATACTTTGAATATTAAATAAATTAGTATACCCTTTATCCCAACTTATGTATCACTATTTATTTATTTTTAGTCTGTCTAAGAAGAATGATTTACAACTACACAAATATTTATGATTCGTTTTATATCACAAATTTTAAAAGTCTTTCTTTTATTTTTCGTGCTTAATCAAACACCTCCACATAAATTGAGAAGAAAGTAATAGTTATGGAGTACTGTATTTATAGATGAGTAACAAAGAGAGGAGGGAATGGATGTATGAGCTATGAAAGAGTCAAATCTTGAAAAATATTGATAGCTTGATCCTTTTCCATACATGAGGTCATAAGTTCTACATTGAGTGTAAAAGAACTTTAACGCTATCAAGTCTCTCAAAAGATAATTACAGACTGGGAAACCAACTATAATAAGTAAGATTAGTTACTTTAAAATAGACAAATTAAAACTATTTACATTACCAAATAAAAAGGTCATTTTCTTCTACTATATTTATAAATGGTCATAAGAAATCATTTCCTCTCACCTAGAACTAATAGGCGAGTTTTTATATAATCTGTGCATAGAACTTTAACTCATTTTTTGTGGTATGCTCTCACCATCTTCTTAGCATTTCAAATCTAATTGATTGAGTTAAAGTTGAGGTAAACTGCTTACCCACTGCCATCACCAGCAGACAAACTCAGTTGAGCAAAATTTCTAAACAAAGTTTATGGGAAAGTTTACAAACAGTTAGTACATTACATCAAAATCTCCAATTTGATGTTTTACCAGAATACCACTTATTAGGAATAACGGTGACTACTCACGAGTCACGAGTGGGGTCTCAGGAGGGTAAGATGTATTCAGACCTTATCACTATCATTGTAAGGTAGGCTAGTAGAGAGATTGTTTCGATAGACCCTCGGCTCAAAAGAAGTGTGAGAGTTTTTTTACTTCTAAATGTTTATATAGAAAAGATTATAGATACACTTTCTTTTAGGTGTACACAAGGTTGGATATAGAGTATGATGTGAACCAGTAACTTTGACTCGATCACTGTGTATATGGTAAACTCACTAAATACATACAAATAACAGATTTCGATCCTGTAAATCAAATGTGATGTGGTAAAATCCTGAACTTGAACGCATAATGTTCAAATTCTGGACCCGCATCAGCACGTACAGGATTCATTGAGGAAAAGTGGTTACAAGTTTATTTGGTTGACATAAGATGCCAGTTTATCTTCAATGAACTTCCTTATACTAGTTGCATCACCTTGTTGAATGATTCTTCCATCTTCCATGTACACTGCACCATCTGCAAACTCGAGTTCTTCCAAGCGATGAGTTACCCACAATGCGGTAATTCCTTGAGATGTATCCATGGAGTTTCTCATTGCTTTTATCACTCCAATCTAGCAAAAGTGGAAGGAAAGAAAAACAATTCACTCGTAAAATTTATCTATTCCGGATAAAAGAATTTCCATACTAAACACTAAACAACATGTTGTTCTTCTCCTCATCGATGGAGTAAATTTAGAAAAGCTTCCTTCCTCTTCCGGGCAACACAAAAGCCAAAGACAAAAAGGAATTGAAAGAATATAGAACAAGGAAAAGGAATAAGCATGTCATGCAGAGTAGCCAAGTCAGTCAAAGAAAAATACTACTTTAGTTTGATGACAACACTGCAACGCACATTGAGTGAGGCGATGCGCTCAACACATTTTGAGCCTCGCTTCAGGGCTTAAGCGTGCTTGCCTTTGACAACACGGTATGGATAGCATTAATATATTTTACACTGTGGTTATGCAGTGTTGAACATGAGCCAAAGTTTCAAGTTTGTGAACATCTCTTGTGCATAGGATTTCACTTGAATGATTATCTTGAGCAGTTTCAGTTCAAGAAAATACCCTTTAGGTCCTTTCCTTTGATAGTTCAACAGTTGGATAGCACACTAATACAGGTGGTTTGGTACGTGGGATAAGGATAATAATCCCAGGATAAATTTGGGATTAACTTTATCCCATGTTTGGTTTGAGGTATTAGTTAATCCCGGGATTATTTTATATCCCAACATTTCTACCAAAATTGTGGGATTACTATCCCATATAGAAGGTGGGATATATTTGCTTATCCTATCTGGCATACCAGACGACCCCTACATATTTAGGTGACCAGAGTGAAAGATTGGATGCTACAAAGTGAGATAAAAGTTGAATCAGATTATACCTGATCAGTTTCATCCAAAAAAGTAGTCAGTTCATCAAGTAACAAAACTTTGCAAGCTTCCGCCAAAGCACCAGCTGTAGCAACCCTTTGTTTTTGGCCACCACTAAGAGTGTGAACTGGTTTCTGCTCAGCGTAAACAAAAGCACAGACATGAGAGCAGTTCGGTATATATGTTAGGAACTCAAGAAACCATACCTGAAGAACATACTTTCAAATATTCATACATCCCAACTGCATCCAAAGCTTTTGCCACCCTAGTCTTAATCTCATTTGGTGTTAAGTTCAATTTACCAAGACCAAAAGCGACATCAGCTTCCACTGTTGGCATCACGACCTGTAAGCACAAGAAATAAAGAAGGCCATGCATTTCAGAGCAGAATACTTACTTAACATGTGGTCGTGGAAAGTCCAATTCATAAAAACTATCCAACGATCCAGACAAACTAACATAACAAATAACGGCAAATGTGACTCTCTGCTTTAGCCACACCAAGCACAACATCTGTTTTGCAGAGACCTCGTGAACTCATCATGCCAAAAGCATGTGAGGCTATGATAAGAAGCCTTGTAGATTTACCATACAAAAGATAAATGGACCAATGTAGCAAAAAACTCTGTAGACTCGCATTCTCGAATCAGTAAATGCAGAGTACAGAATCATGACAGACACCTGTGCTACTAAATGACTCATAAGTGCAATGACAAAATGATGAGGACTTTGCTACCACATATTCTGGAGGTTTTACAAAGATGGATAAACTGCACCATCCACCCAAAGTAATGGTCATGCAGAGTTACAGACCAGCATAATCAGCAATACAATGTAGAAAGTTAAGAGCTTTCCAGATTCTGCCTACTTACAGGGCTACAATAGAAGTTCTATAATGACATTTTAGTCCTTATGACGGCAAATTGCTGAATTTTTCAAAAGTGATGGTCTTTCCAAATCTAAACTCAGATTGAGATATAGTTCAACAAAAGCCAGATAAACCAAAAGCATAATTACATCAGTAGGATAGTTATCAAGGGGACTTGATTCTCTAATATGAAATAAAGGTTATACAAAATGAAGCGCTCAATCTTTTGTAGTTCACTAATGATTTACATTCTCTTTGTTATAATGTCGTCTGAGCCAGCTTACCTAGACTATTTCACTAGGTACTTGTTACCTCACACCAGCACAGTTAACTGGTAACACAATGGCTTAAGCAAAGTAAAAAAGATCACCTATGCCTTTTATTGGTCTCTGCTCAGATTTGAACTCATCTTCCGTGGTTTTCACCCACTCAATTGTCCAGTAGGCAACATCCTTAGGTTCTCCTTGTGTTTTACATCCATTTGCAGTGGTTCCATTAAAT